TGTTGTTCTACCTATTCTAACCTCTTTGCTTCCTACACTAGTACATCAGTTTCTTAAAAATTTCGCGCTTTTGCATGCCATCTAGGCACTGATGCCCTAATTAAGAAGTTTAAATATCTTTATAGCAGACGTCTAAAGCAATTGCTATTCCGCTAATTTAACAGAATCGGCAATTAAGGGTACAACATCCTTCTGAACCGGCCCATCTGAAAAATTCTGAAAACCCCTCAGAGAATGGCGTTTCCTCATCTTCTCAATGTCCCAATTCACGTTCAATATTTTATAATATCATCAACTGATACAGTATGTGCTAATTAATATGTAAATTATAATAATTATCAACAACGATGCTATTGGATAAATATTTACAAGCCCGGATTGATACACGATAGAGCTACTCTGAATAACTTACGCATGCCATAGAGACCAGTCATGAAATAACTTGAAGCAAAATATTTATTTATAGAGAAAAGAAAAAAAGAAAACCTTTCCACATCTTAGCGAACAACATTAGACTGTAAAAAGTACAGCATTTTATCTGATATTTCTAAAGCGCTGGAACTGCCTGCTGTCCAGCAACCTGCTTACTAGATCTGCATTAATATTATTCTGTTCGGTCCCCGGTTTCGAAAGATACCATGCTTTCTTTTAAACGAACCTTGTGCATTCGTTAACAATGTGGGACATTGAACATCGCTCCTTACCAAATCCGCAGATAAACGTGCATTAGACACACCGTCAGTACTCGTGACATGTGCACCGACTATGTAACCAATGCGAAACCGACTCTGCTGCCCAAATGAATCAATCGATAGCGATAATCAAACCAAACAATGCCTAATTGGAATGATAAAGAAAAAAATTCAAAAAATAAACTGAACAAATTAGAAATACTAAAATTAAATGTCAAGGGTCAGTTTCGTCAACGAATTCGTAAGCGTCATGCTCGATACTTGATTTTGTCCGTTTCGATTCGTGCTCCTCGTCGGAATCGGATAATGCCAGATCAGTCTGCAATCTAGCCTTTCTTTTCAGTCCGCTTTCTTGGAATGCCTCGGCTTCTTCGTCTAAACCCGCTGAGCTGGAATCATCGGAATGAATGTTGAATGCAACAAGTTCGCCTTCTTCGACATCATCCTCGATTTTTACAGGCAAATTAGGCGAACTGTTTGAATAGAATCTCGACGAGTCGCTTGCCGATGGCCCAGGCACATTTTCTTCGCCGTCGCTGAGCAATAGGTCAGACTGCAATACTTCATTACCTTCTGATTCATCGACGTGGGAAGCCTCTTCGACGAATTCATCTGCATGTCGTTCTTCTAAATCTTGTGCACTACTAGCATCTGTACTGACTGACTCCATCTCGATCGCCAGCAACGCCTTCTCTTTTGCAACGTTCAGATTTCTCTCCAATTCGCTAAGTTGCCCGGTATTCTTAAAGTCCAACATTAACGTACATTACCATATATACAAGCCACTGTATACTGTATCTGACAGCAGAAAGAACAAAAGTTTTTTAGAAAGCTGATGCGCCTTTGTGGATAAGCGGTCGCAGCGGGAAAGAACATTTTAAACGGATATGTTTACACGCAGCAAACGATATGAAAAAGAGGGCCTACAAATAGACTGGAATTTCCAGTTCGCTTCAAAATGATGACTAACAGACATGCACAAGATTCATGTAGCGCATACTAGCGAAATGGCAACATTAAGGGTAAGAAAGCAGTTTACAACTGCTGTCTCTACTTACCTAAAGAAGGAGTGACTCGCTTTGTGAATACCATCTGAAGATACTTAAACTCTTAGATTCCATCGATGCAAAGCATTTAACTAAAAAATAGGCAATAGCTGATTTCGAGAGTCAAAAATCCTCGGTTATTGCTATGCTCATTTTCATTTACTCAAAAATTTTTAATTCACTCGTTTGAAAAACTAACAGGATTTAGAGTCTTTGCCAAAGAGCTGACGATTCGGTCAACAAAATATCATTCGTCATAAGTGCTGACCAAAGTGTTTCACCGACGATGAACTCTCTGCTGATCGAAACATCAACCGGAAAAATAAACTCTCTTGACTAAGTCGGTTCCTCCAACCAATGGATTACAAGAATCTTACATTATAGCCATGATGATCTCTTAAGACTGGAAAGGAGAAGGGGTGAAACTTGTGTACCAAGCATCCATCCATTGATATTTCCTAGTGAGAAAGGGGTCGGCGGCTTCCACATTGTCTCATCATTTAACATTCAAAAGCACTTTTACCTCTGCGATGAGTTTCTTGGCTAGCGCAACAATTTCAGATGCCTTCTGTGTAAAAGATGACGAAGGACCGTTGAATTTTTCGCTGTTGATGTAGATCTGTTCAGCATCCCTAATGAATTCGACAACTGAATGGTACATGTGTCGTTTGCATTTGTGTTCCATGGTGCCCAGGTCCATTGGACGCGTCACCTTTTCATAGTAGGTCTTCACCTTTTTTCGGTCCACTGGTTGGTGGAAGGCAAACGAGCGTGGGATTTTTTTACACGAATCGACGATGCGTTCTAGAATAAAACTGAACGCCACCTGGTCGTTATCGTCTAGCAGCGGATTGATCGCCCTTTCGAGCTTCATGATTTTATGCTCCTTCTCGGCGATCCGTCGGCTGGCGTACTCAAAAATGTCTCTCGCCGCCTGAGTAATATAACTTTGGTCACCATTGTACAAACGACTATTGTCCAAGATCTGTCGTACGTCTTTCAGAAATTCCTCTCGAGTCACGTAATGATTCCTGCACAAGTTCATACGGATCTGTTGCAGGTCCATCGGCTTTTTCACGATCTTGTAATAGTCAGGCACGCTTTTCTTATTGACAGGTAGCAAGAAATTTCGCGCCTGTGGCAGACCCTTCAGTTCGTTAAGAATTTTCTCGAGCACCACCGACATGGTTACTTTCGGATCAGCTCGTCGTCGATGCACTGACTGTTTCACGCCCTCGTCGTAGTATTTCGTTCTGCCCAATGAGGAACCAAGGGTGAACGGAGGCGATGATATTTTAGATCGGTCTGTCCGCCTGCTGCCATCTATCATTTCTTTGTACTTAGAAAATGTGCTCAATTTAGCGGGATTCTGAACCATCAGTTTCGGAAACTTCAATTTCAGCGCCTTCTTTTTCATCTTTTCGGCATGTTCCACCACAACCTTGCTTAGCTTCACCTTCGTACCTTCGACTGACACCAGATTCTCTGACGTCGAGGGAAGTTGCAGTTCTTCCTCGATCTGTTCGTCGGTGGGCGCCACCTGCTGTGGGGGCACCTTCACCCGGCCGTACAGAGGACAGTGTTTATTAGTTTTCATGTGGCCAGTCCTACCGCACGCACTGCACCTCATTTTCAACAACGACGGTTTTGGCGGTGCGGGCGGTTTCCCTGCTCTGTCCAACTTCAGGCGAGATCCAACAGGAAAACCCATTTTTGCCTTCATCTCATTTTTCCGAATACGGCGAAGCTGGTCCTGAAAAAGCATCAACTAGCAAGCGTTACATATGTAAGAAAACGCCCCCTATTCACCTGAAGCCGCCTTTTCTCCCTTCGTCGTTCCTCACGATACTGTTCGTCCATCTGAGCGAAATGTCTGATGAACGCCTCGTCCTTTTTCGTGCGGATCTTGACATACGCCTCGATCAGCTGAATCTTCGTCACGTACTCGACAGTCACGTGCTCCGTGCCGTTAGCGTTTCTGTATGTTCGATAGATCTTCAACTTTCTACCATCCGATTCTTCGCCATCTTTGTCTGAAGCATGCGAATTGACTCGACGCAATTTCGTCAGTTTGCTCTCGGCGTTTGAATCATTTTCGCCGCGTAGTATTCGTTGCAGTTCTTCCCGCTCTTTCTCTTCATAATCGAAATTAACCTTAAAACTCAACGATAACAACAACATGAGAATGACTTCAAGCAACTACGCTCAAAATGCCATCAGCAAATGCAAAGTACAACGAAACGTCTATAAAAACAATTTAAGGGGATAATTTCAAGGAGACGTTCTTTAAGGCATTCAGATGTACTTAATAGAACATCTCTGCCACCATTTATGAAAGCAGCAGTATCAGCGGTGGTTTTTTACATTCTGACAGCATCTGCTGCTATGAAACTTACTTTACAGATACCGGCTGACAAGAACATTGTATGCAAAATATCTTCGAAGTGCGATGGCAAAACCAGGCATCAGGTGCACATGGATGACCACCGCACCTACATAACGAAACTGTTCGCTCAAAATCTTTTTTTAAACAGAAGTTCCAGATTTCGCAGAAATGTGGTTCCGCGCAACACGGAGACGGATCGCCAGTGGTTACGAGAGTTCCCTTAACTATATGCTGACAGCAGATGTTCCGCTTGAGTAAACGGCGTTAAATCGAGAAATTTTAAAGCTAGTAAAAGTCTGGGCCAAGTGTGAATTTTGTTTCTTCTCTTGTTCGTGTTGTAATCGATAGAAGGAAGTCAGGCGCAGCCAGGGTGACTAATGTATCAGCGTAGACGTGAAGACGAAAAAGTTGCTGTCCGCAGACGACCTTGTTTTGCTGTCATCTTCTGAAACTGATCTACAGCGCTACCTGTAAAGGTTCAGAGCCGAATGCAACGAGGCGGGCATTTGTATGAACGTTTCTAAGACTCAAACTTAGTT